GCTTGAGAGAGAGAGAGAGATGACGAACAAGTCATGGCTGTTCATAGACTATGGTGACCAGCTTGGGTTGTTCAGGTTTTGGCATGGTAGTTTGTTGGTTTGTTTTGTTGGTTTGTTTTTTTTGTTTTCGTTTTTTTGTGAGTGGTTGGTTTTTGAGTGGGGTGGTTGTTGAAGGAGTGTTCAGTCAAGCTTGGAGGTGTTGGGACAGGGAGTGGATGTTTGTATAATTAGGGTGGCGGTGTGTTTTGTTTTGTTTGGCGTGAAATAAATAATCAAGTACAGCATTCAGGCAGCTGTGAACACTGGGCTTGCTCGGCTCGTTCGAGGGTGAGGTAGAAGTTCAAGTCAGCTGGCTGAAAAGTTGAAGAGGAGAGTGAATGCTTTAAAGTTTGATCGAAGCGGAAGGGCTGGATTACGTAATCCTCGATTTCTGCTTTCGGATCCGCAAGTGACCCAACTGATGATCATCACCCTAACAATGATTTCATTATGACTTCTGTCTTTGTCTCATGTATCATCAACAAAGAAAAAAAAAAAAAAGCAAGCAAGCAAGCAATCAAGACAGAAGCAACTCTCAAGTCTTGCAGCTCCAACACAAAAATATTCCATCTACATATTTCAATCACTTCTCTATCTTCCTGAAACTGGTCATCTTAATCCCAATCATCATGACAGCCTATCACAGTCAACACAATCCCACAACAACCACTGTGAAAGAAACAAAGCGTTCAAGGGGGGAACAGCTCTAATCTATGATGCTCTCAACTCACAGGATCCTGAAGTGGAGAGACCATCCTATAATAAGCATTTGTTCTAAAAATCCAATGGACCACGCCGATCTCTTGAGAACATGATATCAACCCAGGGGGGAACTGACAAGGCAGGAGGTGGCAGGGGAACTACATTGTAATCTGGATCCTTAATCAAAAAGATAAGCTTCCAGGCACTCTTTCCGAATCCTTTGGCCAATCAATTGCGCTGGTTAAGACAGGACCATCAACAGTTCTGCATGATTTTTTTTGTATGTATGTAAATGGCTCCTCAGAAAAACTGGAACCAAGCTTGGGGAAAAAACGCTGTGTTTGCCGATGTTGGCAGGCCAGTGGGATACTTGTGCAGACCGAAGAAGGCTCGGTCTGACTGGATGGAAGCGAGAACCCGCCAGCCCCCCCTCTACACTGGTCGTAAGCTTCAGATCATTAACCCTTGGATATTTAACCGAATGGAAGAAAACAATGTCGGAATTAGTTGGTCTTGGGATGCCGATTTGATGTGCATGTCCAATTATCATGAACTTTCACTTTGGCTAGCGGAGGAACGCTATGGAAGAGGGCATATTTCAGCGGCCGGCAATGGTGGAACCAGTTGATCTGATTTGGGGGGCGCGACGGATCCGACAACTGCGAAAGGAAGCCACCTTTTTGAGAGTGTTGTTAGATCGGCTTACTGCCCGGTATCTCTTCCTCATAAAGGGAGCATCACTCTTGTGTGCGGTTTGGTTTACAAAAATAGGGGGTCATGAATACTGGGCTAAGCGAATGTGTGTGAAGTGGATGGATAGTATCAGGATGGGCTCCAATTGCTCAATCCTGATTCTTCTTCCGGATGCAATAGGTATATTAACAAAATCATAATTGTTCAACCGGATCGACTGTCTCTCTCTCTCTATCGATGGATGGATGGGGGGGGGGGGGAATAACAAGTTATTTGTGGGATCCAGTCGTGGTTCGGACTCGTTTTAAATGGGCAGGCCGATCTGTCGACAGGCAGCTACAATGCCGTGTTTCTTGATCGTGTGATGAAGGTCGCCTGGATTGACAAATGATTCAGCGAGCGAATTTCATGAGTTGTTTTTTTTTTGGTAAGATGTGATGACTTACCTCTGTTCCTAAGGTCGCACACGGGAAGGTTCACGACACAATCGGCACTGGGGTCCCTGGGTATTGTGCTGAGGATCGATTCGGATGCAGTCCGCAGAAGGAGAGGAGACGGAAAGTGATCAACGACGGACGATCTGCGGGGGAAGTGTTGGGGGGGGTTCGTGTCGAAGAACTTACGTGTTGACCCAAGGGAAGTGTTCGAAGCCGCCATACTTCTGCTGGCACGATAGCGAAGCGTTGGTCAAGAACTGGGTGGAGAAGCCGAGCCGGTTTTCGATCACAAACGCGTTGGGGAACGTGCGTTCCTCCTTATCCTTGTGTTTCTTGCCCTTCTCGTCGCTCACCCGGACGATGTTATACATCCTGCAGTTTGGAGAGATCCGAGTTAATGTATGTAGCCAGGAAGTAGGCTTGATTCGCAATGCTACTCACGTTCCTGAGGTGTCGCAGTACGACAGTTTGTCATCTCCTTCCAGCGCTCCATTGGGCCCTTTGTTGTTGCACACGTCCTGCATCCATCATCAGAACATAATCTTAGTAGCTGCCACAGGTCGAAATCTACTCCTAATGAGAAACAAAAACAAGAGAAGATTCTTACACTACCAATCGTCACGAATGCATCCTGATGTGAAGGGGGAAAAAAATCTCAGACGATGAATGTGTCCAAAGAGACAGAGAATATCCGAAATTGCTTACCATTGATCGGAGGATCCTGGTCAAGAACAGTGCGGTTGTCACATTTTTCAAAGCGGTTTCGATGGCTGGCAAGAAGACTTGCTCGAGGGGAGCGATGTAGGTTCCATTTTTGAGGATGTCTGCCATGCCGTCTTTGGAGCTGATTGGGGCGTTGAGGATTTTATGGGATTCCTGGGAGATTCCGTCGATCATCTTCTGTTCATAGACGGCCAGACCGTCGACAAGATGAGACCACTATGTGTTGTACATCCATGGAAAGCTTGGTCAGTCTCTGAAGAGCTCTCACTGAAAAAAAAAAAAAAAAGAGAAAAATCTGTTGGAATGGTGTGTCTATGCAGTGAGGTGATCAACTCACCTCGGTGAATGCCTCGTGTTTCTCCTCCTTGGGAACAGGCAGAAAGGCAGCAGCCCCATAGGATGCAGCGTTGATGATGTTGTTGAGCACGTTGAAAAACAAGTTCCAGCCTAACTGTGGCGAATTGAAAAGGACTAGGATGTCCAAGAAGAGGGTGTTGGAGACCATCATGAATGCGGCGTTGACTGCGAAATTGAGTTTGATCATCTGGACCATGCGTGGATCCATTGCCGGAAATCTACAGACATCAAAAGGCTCAGCGATATCCAAGCATGATTTGAAAAAAATTACTGGTGAGGGGGGATAACTTACAATGCGGACAAAATGATAGATATAGTGGCTGAGTTTTTGGCACCAAATGAAGACCGGTCAGTCTTGTGAAGAGTCGAATGATCTCTAAGGAAATAGCGGCAGAGAATGGAGGGTACCTTGTACAAAGTTGACCCCGTATGAAAGAGCACGGATGATGTTGTTGGTTTGAATGTTCCATTGTTGGATCGCAAAAAGCACGTACCAGTCCGGCGCGGGAACGGGATAGCAGAGCTGTAGGGAAGAAGACAGTTAAATGAGAGTGATGCACGCGGCTTGGCAAAGGGGTTCTCATTCGAAGACCTCCATACCTGGCCAGCGTTACACTTGTTTCCAACACCGCAGTCAAAGTTGGGTGCTCCTTTGGAGGCGGCGTATTGCTGGAGAAGGAGTCAGTTCAGGTGGGCCGAGACAACAAATCAACGATGAAGAAAATGGGGCTCACCGAGACCGTGAGGTGATCGCCGCCAGGATAAGTGCGCAGATATTCGTCCAAGTTGAGCGTCTTCCAAGTTTCCCTTGTCAATGGAAGAGCTTTGCAGGTCCCGTTGACGGGTGCGGAAGGATCCCGGGGTGGGCCGGTGGCTTGAGGGTTGGATGATTGTGATGGTGCGGAGAAGCCGAGCATGCCCCCCAGGCCTCTCTTCTCATGTTGGACGCCGCCGGACTGTGCGTGGAGAGTGGCGGAAAAGGCTGCTAGGCAGGTGCACAATAACAAGCTATCCTTCATCTTGTTATTAAGGTTTGGTGTGGGTGATAATGAGTGAACGAATCCTGCTTGGTTAAATATGGACTGGAGTAAATAATTGGGTTTTTCTTTTTTTTTTCTTTTTTTGAAAAGACGGAAGAGTTTAATGGACGATAACTTGAAGCCCCTCCTCAATCATGGGCCGTTTCGGAGTCCCACCCAAGAGTGACCATCCACAATGCCTTAAGTAAGATCCAAAACGCACCCGACAGCGAATGTGGATGGCGAAACCTGAGCAGGACCGTCACAGAAGGAGTCGCATCCCTTGATGCACGAAGACTCTGGAATGTCGCCAGCTTCTTCCTCGACTGTATGTATTCCTGAAATTTGGGGAGCCCTCATCTGAGCCTACACAAAACTTGTCGCAAGTCCCGTGTTGCAGTTGGTTGGTGGGCGTACGAGCGCAACCACTCCAAGTGGGACTTGTACCCTACACACCAAGAGCATATAATCCATAAATAATCTTCTACACCGGCCTGTCAGGATTGAATCCTCGCAGGTTTGGGTGTCAGTTTCGGTATGACTCTTTTCGCATTTTTCCCATCCCCTTGAAGCTGGTCATTTAGCTCGTCCCAGAATGACCCGTCTTTTGCACATTTCTCCGGGAGGTTGGAGTGCGTGGAGACTCCGACCAAGGACCGAAGTTGACCGCTGACCCTGCTCGACCTCCCATTTCAGATCGCTTGAAGACTGGTCCTAGCAATCCTTGAGATGACTCCTTGCAACTAGAAAAAAACTTCGCGTTCTCTAGTGGGCATCTTGGCCAAAAGACTTAAAACATGAAAATCGTAACACAGTGAGAGGATTCTGGGGAGCACGACGGAGGTGGAACTCCATGACTGTAGAAAACTGCCGTTATGTAGTAGCCCAAACTCCTCACCCAAGAATACAAAAATGCAACAAAGAATCTGGAATGAGAGAATAAATACTCTTGTCAAACACTCTGAGTAGATGTGCCTGTATATCTTCTCTCATCGACTTCCGATCGAAAAAAATCAATGGAGTACCAGGGAGTCGAATCCTGTACCTCTCGCATACAACTGTTCAGACTGATGCTAAGCGAGCGCTCTACCGATGAGCTTGAACCCCTTGCGATGATGAACTGGCAGGAAATTAAGAATATGTTTAGATGATTATTAAAACAACCAAGTTGTTATCCCGATGCAAAATTGTTCCTTCCACTCGGTTTGATGAAAATCCCTAACATAATCTGATTAAAATCATGTAGAAAAAAACATGGGTGTTGACAGCTCCCTTGAGCCAAGCTGAGAAGGTTGAACTTGAACTGCTTGTACCTTGGACAATATTGAAGCTTTGGAATTGAGGGTTTTCTTTCTTTGTTTTGTTTTTGTAGAGGATTGATGGTGGCACTGTTTATGTATGTAATATGCCCACATAATTTCTAGTGGTTGTTTCTTTGTATTTGTAAAATTAGGCAGGGTCAATTCTCCACACATTATTATATATGGCCCTACTGATCCATTTACTGCAGAAAACAAAATGTTACAACATAACACATCAGACTTTTACAATAATCAAACTTTTTTTTGATTAAAAACATGAGCCACATCTACATAAACCAATTCTTTTTTTATTTGTTTTTTGGAAGAAGCTGAACAGTAAATCTTTCATTCCTCAATATGTCTTTGTACTGGGGAAACTTCTGAAAATATGATTCATGTCAATCGCTACATAAGGGCCATGATATTTTCTAGCAAGCTTTTTTTTGTGGACCGCACTGGCTATGTACTAGAAGTATTAAGCTTGAGATCTGCCTCTTATATGTGAGGGTAGGATGATTGTGGAGTGATGTGGAGATTGGACGAGATAGCGGGAGAATGAGAAGTGTGACATGTTTGATCGGGTGCAGCAGAGAAGTGAAGAGTGAGAGTGGTGATACATCCAAGTCCAACAACCTCTGCTGACCACATCGATGTCTTTCCTCTCCTCACTCCAAGGCACCGTTCTCCAAGGATATGCAGCCCTCCAAGGCCCCCAGGGACAGCCCCAATCACCGACCGACACCCTCGTCAAACTCCTCGATCGTCTCCAGAACTCTTCCCAACATGAGGACAGACGCAGCAGTCTGCTTGGGATCAAGGGGATGGCCAGAGACTGGAAATCGGTATCTCATCTTCCTCTTCTTTATTAATTATCTTCGCATCAGCACTTGACTGACTACTTTTCAATTTGTTTTTTTCGAAACTGGTCAATTTTTCTAGGAAGTCGGCCAAGTTGCTCTTCCAGCAATACTCGACTTACTCGCCGAACCCGGCCTTGTGGACGACCTTGATATGGCTAAAGCGGTCCTGGAAACTCTGAATATCTTATGCGAAATCGAAGAAACAGAGCCTGGCAGGCCTTCGAAAACGGACTGTGGGGTGACCCATGTCGATACGTTCTTGATGGTATGTACCATCGTTGACTGACCACAATGATTTGACTGATATTTAGATGCGCTATATCCCTCACTACGACCACTATTATTATGATTTTTGCTTAGAAACCTGAACCGACCCACGCAGTCTTGTCTCTACTGAGCACAACGAGTTTCTACATCCGCTTCTTCTCCTTGCAGCTCCTAGGCACCCTCTTAACCACCCCACCGCCACGTCCTCTGACTCTCCAAGCGCATTTTCTGACCGCCCCGGGCGGGCTGGGCACGATCTTATCGATCCTCGACGAGACCAGAGAAATCCTGCGCAACGAAGTCCTGCTCATCCTGCTCAATATCACCGAAAAGAATGCCGATATCCAGAAGATCATCGCCTTCGAAGGCGGCTTCGATCGCTTGTTTCATATCATCGACGTCGAGGGCGGCATCGGCGCTGGCGGGATCGTCGTCCAAGATTGCTTGCTGTGTGTTGGCCAGCTTCTGCGCTACAACGTCTCTAATCAAGTCAGTGTCATCATTATATATATATATATATATATATATATTTTTGGGGGGGGGTCTCTTAAGATTTGGACTGATCACACCTTACTTAACTTTTCTCATCGATCTAGAACTATTTTCGAGAAACGTCATGCATCCCTCATCTTGCACCCATGCTCCTTTTTCCTCCCGCACAAGACCCCCATCCAGTGGCCCTAGATTCATTTGCAACTCAGCCGTGGAGTGAGCAGAAGCTCAACAACGCCCTTCTCGTCCTTGCCCTTGCTCGAACCATGGTCTCCGGGGCTGGTGCCGGGAAGATTGCTAACCAGCGCGCGATCCTCGTCGGTGGCCTCACCCGTTGTCTCGCAGAGATGGGCTTAGCCAGTGCCGCACCTCCAGTCCTGAAGGCTGAAGCCTTGCATATCCTCGCCCACGTTATCCGAGGAAGCGAGATCAACCAGGAGTTCATCAGCAAGCTGGTCCTCAATCCCTTGGCCGCATCCTCTCCTCCCCCCGGCCAGGACCCGAGTTATTCGGACAGAGAGAAGCCAGAATTCTATCGGCTCCCTCCTCAGTCTGCCATCTTGGCGCTCTTCTCACTCGCCCTCGAAGGACTCCCTGGAGCTCAGAATCCCAGCTCAGCCGAGGATGAGTTACACACCTTGTCTGTCCGGGCTGCCGCCCTGAGTGTTATCGACAGCTTTCTGGACGGGAACCTAGATGCTCAACTTGGCATCGTCGCCACCATGAACACACCCATCCCTCAGCTACCGGAACAAAACAGTGGCCCTTCTCACTCTCCTGGATCATTGCTCTTCGAGGCTTTACAAAGCTTACCCCCGACTGACGCTGGAGGCATGGCCGCATATACCTCCTTCTTTGCCTCCTTGATCTTCGCCCATCTGCTCAGAGGATTCGAGCCCGCCAAGAAGCTAGCGCGAGAGATCCGGATCGGCAGCGATCCGGCTGGCCCACACGGCCCGACAAATGACGAGGACGACCAAACCAGTCTAGTGCAAGTCTTGATTGGGAACTTGATGATGGCCCAGCGGATGCAAAGTCAAAGTAACAATGCTGGCGATGGGATCCAGCGGTCCTTAGCATGGGCTCGAATCATGGTTGGGTATCTGATGGTATTGGCCACCTGGTTTTGGGAGAGTCCCGCGACAACCAGCGAGTTTCTAAGTGAAGGTACAAATTTACAAGTGGTATGTATCACAATCTCATCGACTGTCTTTTTTCTTCCTATCAGTCTTCCAATAACCGAAGAAGACCTCACTGACACGACTACTCCTCTAAAATCATTGCAGCTGATCGAGCCGATCAGTCAATCATCTGGCGTGGACCCACTCGTCCAAGGCTTGTGCGCGTTTGTGTTAGGAATCGTTTACGAATCCGACCATGATCCGGCGTCGACGATACCAAGGTGAGTCGATTTCCGCTTTGCCTCGTTGGCCGGTTCGCTGACCAATCAGGGGGGTCCCGGCCTCCATGGGGAAGGAAGATCGACCCTCCAGCCCATCCTCCATTCTCGTGTCGGGCCAGATCAGTTTGTCAATAGGATCCTCAGACTCAGAGAGGACCCTCGGTTCAAAAACGTCGGCCCCGATGTCCTCGAGTTGTGCCCCCAGGCCCCAGCCCCATCCGATCCCTCCAACCCAGACGAAGAACCTGGGCTGTGGTTTGATTGGCCCTTCGTCGAGTTCCTGAAAAATAATTATGGTGGGTGATTCATGATCGGCCTGAATCGACCACAGAGATTAACTACACACTGCTCATTCATAAACAAATAAAAAGTATCCATCCAGCAATCTATCTTAATTGATCCTGGAGCAGGTGGAGGGCACAGTAAGTTTTCCTTTTTTTCGTATTCTTCTAGGCGGAGGTATGGCTTGCTTGCAGGCCTTTTTCGGTTATAGACAAGCTCATTGAATAATCTTAAAAGATTCTTCCAAAGAAAATGCACACCAAAGTGAAGAATTGAGTAGACTGAAGACCCAGGTGGCCGAACAAACAAACGATATACAAGCTCTGGAACGACAAGTATCCGAGCTAACGATACAACTAAAAGAACAAGTGAGTGATGAGCAGGGTTACAAATCGATCATTTAGGAGTCACGAGTTGGGATGTTGATTTGACGGGGATTGGCGCCACAGGATGTGGCGGAGATGGACAGGCTCCGACGAGAGAACGAGCGGTTATCTGAGGAGGTTCGGGTCTTGCGCGAAGAGACGGGGCGTCTAGGTGCCGCGCAGAAGGAGAACGAGAAGGAGCAGGAAGACCTGCTCGTGTTGCTGGAGGAGGTGAGCGGGAAGCGGCGGAGAGACAAGGTGTTGATGCGCCAGAAGGGTCTCGAGGTCAGTGAGGACGAGGACGAGGATGATGAGGGTGGTGCTAGTCAATGCCAATGATGTAAAAGCTTGACAGGCTTGCACATCCCCTATCGTTGCTTCCTCTCCCCCCCTGTATCTTTATTGTTCTTCCTTTGCTGTCCTGTCCCCTTGGACTCACCAACTCGTTTGCTCTATACCTACCAAGGATATCTTTTGAAACCGCTACTTACTTATTACTTACAAAAACAAAAAACAAAAAACGGGATTTACAGATTAGAAGCCTGCATCGCTTGAATGGTCCATTTGCGATTGTACACTTTTGTTTTGATTTTGATTTTTGATTTGTAAATCTTTGATATCCAACTTTTCAACTTTTTTTATTGTTTTTTTTTTTTTTCAATAGTACTTTCCCATTCTCACACTCACGGTTTCCTCAAGTATCAAACACATAAAACCGACCAAAAACAACTAATGAAATCCTCGTCATGACCATGAAATCTTCATGACATGTTGCTAATCTATGTGGTGTACTAAGTACAGTTCTCAACCTTCCCTTGAGTGTTTTTTCCTCCAAGCTGGTTTTGCAGTCCAACAAGCATCATACACAAGCCACATGAAGAACACCGTTGTCCAACGGGTTGCACTCTTATCCTTCTGAAAACCAGTATCCTTCCTGGACAAGGTTTGTCAATTGTGTGGCGTCAAGTCTTTGAGCCTTCCTTGAGTGATACCGAGAATTTCTATGTACTCATATATCCCAACTTGCCAAATTCCTGTAGAGAGGGAATGATCTGTAGTTGCATCATCTGAGAAGGACAGTTGTGTCCAGCCTTCCTAAACAAGCTCAATCCAAGCTATGCTCAGGTTTGTCGCCCTGGAAACCCTGCAAATCAGCTTGCAGCTATGCAGCGATCGGAAGCAGAGGGAGCGAATCACCGGACGTTTTCTTCTAATATATTCCCGTCTTATTGGCTCCACACTATCGCAACTCATGGCAATGCAAACCAGCGGATTTCTAGGGAGGTGGGATGAGTTTACCGGCGTCTTCCCTCCTCGGTCTTCCTTACCGGCCTCTGCTTCGTTGACGGTTGGGAGGACCAACTGCTGGCTTGCACCGACATGGCATGGATACGAGGTGGGAGGCGGCACTGCAAGCTTGCCAAGACCGCAACTGATTCCAGTGATCTTGCAAGCTTACTGCAGAGGGAGCATGTAGTTCGAGCTCGAGGATAAAAGGCCAGTACGTTCGGACCGTCCTGATCCCCCATCCAGTGATCACCCCTCATCAAATAAAACTTCTTTGTATAAAGACCGTATATCTGTGCATTTTGCCTTAAGTCGCTTTATCCAGGAAGGCTTCATTACTGCCAATTGTCTGGCTTGGCTATAGCAGCTCCACTTTTCACATTCCTTCTGGTCAAGGATTAAGCTTTTTTTTGTCACCTGGCTCTTCAACCGGTCAGTTATTTTTTGCAAGTATCTTCTCCGTCAACGGATTCACCCATCTTAACATTTATGAAGCGCACTTTTAATGATGGTCGTACAGAATCAAAATATGAGGGTTCAAATTGCGTCGATTGTTCTCACTGCACTCACACTTATGGTGCTCTGTAAGTAACCCAACTATGACCAATTGTTGTTGCTTATGTTTGGTAGAATTTATAAGGAAGCGAGCGAAGAAATGGCCGACTGAATGTATGTAATGCTTTTCATGCCTGTCGATCTGCAGCCGAAGGATCGGCCGCGGCGCCGGTGATCAAAGCACGGAGCCCGAATGGCTTCTGGGACGGCTTCAATCGGTTCGCCAATAAACCGTTCAAAGACTGGTTTTAAATTCCTCCAGTCGCGATCATGGCTGGAGCAATCCAATCATCCGACGTCAAGGCCCATCTTCGATCAATTTTGGCTAAGATCAAAATATCATGGCCGGCGCGTCGCATTTGTATATAAATTGACTCTGTTCCGCAGACAGTCGCGCTCCTTCGATTTGATTTTCTTTTCTCTTCTTCTGTAAATAGGGCATATGTATCGGTCGAGTTGTCTCTACCATCCTACTTGCCATCATCTTTCTCTCGTCTTTCTGTTTACTAGAAAGCTCATTGTAACATCATGTATTCTTCAGCTCCGATTATTCGCTTTCGTTGTAGACATTTTCCCATTCTTGCCTTGCTACGCAATATTGACAATAATCTCACTCTATTTTCCTGCCTTGATAAAGGTCGGTATGTCTCCCCAGCCTCATCTTCTCCTGTTGAATTGATGCCTCTTCTAATAACCAGAAAATAAAACCAAATGAGAGCATAAAAGGGCTTGGGCTCAAAGATGAACTACTGAAAATAAGTTGGATATGTAGTGGTAGAATATGTATGGTTGAGGAGATAGGATGTGTCCCAGCTTTGACCAAAATGACTGCCAGTAGCTTGGTGATGAAGATTCTTCCCCGTGAGTGACCTAAAAAGCTGGGGATTTGGTCCTTGCAGGATCATGCACAAAGGGGATTCTGCATCACTTACATACATTTTCTTGACATCTTATGTCTACATAACTCTTTCAGTTTGATTTATTGAAAAGACAAGTTAAACATGCATCACATAGGTTACAGCTGATTTTAAAAGAAAGAATACCTTTCAAGATGCAGCTAGACTGTTCACCCCAAATAAAAATATGAATTTGTAGTGCAGTTGCAGTTTGATTGGCACAGCCTAATTTGCCAATATTTCCTTGTGTGTTGATAATGTCTTTTTGAGTTACATAATTAGTTGGCTGAAAAGAATTAAAGATGGGTTCATGACTCCAAAGAAAGCATGTCTTCATCTGGTTGTAAGCAATGGATAGTATCCCTCTGGTAATCTTTCAGAAACTTCCCAAGTTCAGGGGATGGAAGTTTACTGTGATTTGCCAAGTTCTTCAAGTTTGTACATACCTTATTCATCAGATGTAAAAATAAAGCATTTCTTAGCTGCTGCAACTTCCTTGTGACTTATGTGATTAACCACAGGGGGTCTGCAATGATACATACCTCCAAAAGTACTTTGCGCCTTCTCAACACTTTGTTTGTTGTACTATTTTTCTCCACTTCAGTACTTAGGCCTGACATCTCTTCGGAGATCTGTTTAGCACGACTCATGACATCGTGAGGTAAGGCAGCAATTGAAGCAAGCTCAATACCTTGAAACAAACAGGTTATTAGAATAATGGCGTGTTTTCAGATTCCAGAAGAAGTTCTCACCATAGCCTCCATTCTTCACAGTACCACTGAAATATGAATTAGTCACCAGCCAGTAAGAAGTATCCAATTAGTGATTGTAATTTGATCTATGTATGATTAGTCAATCAGCTGACCCCAGAACTTTGTGCGGAAACTTTAAACCAACTGCTGCTTCTTGCTTGCTCAATATGGTCTCCAAGTGAAGGCAGGCTACATTGGGATAGACACTCTATATTGAAAATTAGCCTGGTTATGAAGCCTATCTGTGAGGGAGAGGCTTACCAGCGTCAAAGAGAGTTCCTGATTAAAACCACAAAAAACATATTTTCTTCTAAATGAGTCAAATTTAAATGCGAATAGTTCTACCCAGCAATCTTTCTCACCCTAAAATGGGTAGCAAAGAAGCAGAAAGATTTCGCTTTGATTATTTCTTCGCTAAACGCATGTGCAATTCCGACTCCTTCAAGGGGAGATGTGCCTCGTCCAAGTTCGTCTATAATTATGAGAGAGTTCCTACACACCGCCATTGATGAAAGTATACCCGACAACCTAGGAAGGATTGAAGCCGTGATATCAGCTTGTTACTAACTTTTATTGAGCATCAAAGAGACGGGATCCATTGTGATTGCATATAGATAATGCCGAATTTGACTCACGTCTTCATCTCAGAAGAGAAGGTCGATAGTCCTGCTTCAATGTCATCATTCTTTGAGAGGCAGGTCAACAGGGCATCAAATATAGGAAACGACGCGTATTTTGCTGGGCAAAAGCTTCCCACCTGGAAAAACAAATTCAGCAAACTCCATCTGATCTCACATATATCACAAATTTCAGAACTCACTTGAGCCATAACCACCATCAGGGCAATCTGACGTAGAAATATTGACTTTCCGCTCATATCTAAGAGTAAGAGGGTACGAGTAATTAAATTAGAAAACTTCAATAATGAAGCAGATCAGTGAAGCTTACTAGGTCCCGTAACCAATTGAAAAGAGCAGGACTCGTTGGCATATGTGTCACTTCACGCGAGCCAAAAGCGACCAAATTTCTTTTCAGCCCTTGCAAAATATAACTTGATGACTGTGTGACTTACTTTGGCACGAACTCGTCACTCTCGGAATCAAACAGCTCTTTTATAGGATGTCTACCATCACTTATTGCCAGAGTATCGGTGAACTCCGGTCGAACTGAAGTAATAGAAAGCCTCAGCATTAGATTTTTAGTTCTTGAAGATGCAAGCGTTCCTCTATGGAAGTACTCACCATACTCTCGAGTGCTCGCCACATGTGCAAAACTAAAGTATACAATTTAAATTCAAACTGTGATTACAAAACAAAAGGGAGACGGGAAAGTAGCCTACCTGGCCAGCATATCGAGTAAAGCAATGGCTTCAGACAGTCTGAAAAAGGTCGAGACTCGTTTCTTGAATTCTTCAAAAATTCCGTCCAACACTCTAGAGTAGGTTTTTTTTTCTCAGTCTCAGACCATTCCATCAATTCTCCAAACCATAGAAAATAACGAACTCTTCACTATTTCCAATAAGAAGTTCAATTGTGGCAAGTTAGACACCTTTTAAACTATTCAGACAAAGCAATAAACGTTGACTCTATATGTGAATATCTTACCTCAAGAGACATATCTCCTGATAAGAGTTGATGATAAGCTGATTTTTCTTTTTCTGTGAATTCGGATCGGACAAAACAGCATTAAGCTGGGTCTTTCGAATCAGGGCGACTACAAGACTGACCAAATCCAAGCAGGTAAAATGCAAGGTTTTGCCCTTTTTTACCTGAATAGCAAGAAATGACTTGGATCAATATGCAAGCCAGAGCTTCCATGAATAAGAGAAGAAGAAAAAAATCCTACGATATTGGTGAAGACTTTCGGAAGGCCATCAGGATGATCGGTCGTATCGTTACTGGTGCCTCGCAGGTCATCTTTTTTGATTTGCAACATGAAACCAGCCCTAGTTTCGAAGATAAATTGTAACTTAGGTAAATGATGTTCCTCCTTCAAAGCTTCACACATCGCCATTGCATCTGATAGATTTTCCTTGTACGTTTCTCTTCTGGAAGAGTGGTTTAAATTATTGAATGATCTACCCAAATCACTTGTCTATTCTTGGGAAGTTACTCACGCCACATTCAACAATTGGTTCTCAACACCAGTCTTGATGGCGTAGGCATGGACGTTTTGCTTGGCGAGACTGCCCTTTTGAACTCCAAGAAACGAGTCTTCATTCACGCGGAGTTCGAGGACTGAAGAAATTTCATCCAAAAAGGGATCTTCGAAGATATTTGAAGCTAGCCGGAGGAGCTCGCTAGAACAGGTTGATAATGCACTCCGAATCGGATTCAGAGATTGAAGAATCGTTCGAAGTGACTTCAAAAGCTCGAGTTTTTTGGTTATTGCTAAGGACGGATCTTGCGTTTCCAATTTCTTTTTCTTGGAAGATGAGGGTAAGCTGGTTAACGAATGACTTTCCGATTCAGAGTTACAACTGGATCTGTTGCTAGCAAGTTCAGTCGAATTAATACCGCCTATAAGCTTGTCGAGATCTATTTGAGTCAAACTCAAGACGGCCGAGAAAAAGAGCAAAATGCTTTTAGATTTGTGTTTACTTCTTTAGATGTATTCAGAAAACTTCAGGAAAAAGATAGACACTAACAGTTTTAGAGATTTGCGAAGATTGAAAAAGGAGTCTTCCAACTCGATTAATTCCTGAACAGCATCAAGCCTTCCGTCAATCACTTCGATTTCTGTAGGGGGCGCAAGTAAGTTACTTCGAAGCTAAGATTTTAGAGCCGATCCATTGGTCAATGACCATTAGAGATTCGACCAAATCATCAGTTTGATTTTTTTTTTAAAAAAAAAAGAGAGAGAAGAAGATAATAGATTCCTTACCAGACGGTTGGCCATGGGCGTGTACGTGTGATTTAGCAAACCAAAGAGGCTCTGCTTAGATTTGGAGGAAACAGCCTTGATTTTTATGATTGCACCGTCAGTTTTGAGATTTCATCAACGAGATAAGAAGTTTATCACGGCCCACTGACATTGTTGATCAACTCTAAATCTAGGGCGGTATTGCGGTCGATCAACATGCACCCTTCAACACTGAGCCATTTGACATTCAACGAGTGTTTTTCCCAGTGAGACTTTCCAGTTTGAATGAACCTTTTGTGGATCCAGTCAATCACTGCCGATGCCGCTCCGAGGGCGTAGTACTTTTGTCTGACTTCAGCAAGCGTTGCGTCTGATTGTGGCCCAGGTGAACAGAACTCTTGGAGGAGATTGTAACCTTTTTCGGAGGCAAAGCTAGCTCGGGGAAGAACAGTCAGAGGGACGGTTGGGAAAAGATGTTTAAGAGTAGTGTGTAAGATGGTCAAGGCATGCGGTGAAGCAGGTGCTACTAGAAGCAAGTTCGATGGTGGCCTCTGCAGAGAGTGGATACGTATGATCGCAACTTAATAATTCGATCAATAAAAACTGAAGAAAACCATATAACATTAGAGTTTCCAAGACTAACCTGACGAAGCCAATGAATTGTTTTGGCGTAGGTTTGAGAGTCCGCTAACTAGTGTCCAACCCAAGGCCGGTTTCGTGGCGGCTTAAGTTAGTTCTCCTTCATTTCCACCAGGATACAAAAGTGAGAAATATGATTACTTGAGAGAGTACGACTTGACCAAATTCGAACTCGAAGCCGACGATGCCCACCTCCCGCCCAACGCCACGACTCTCGGTCACGGCAACGATCCATGAGCCTAACTGCTCGCTCGGATTATGATCGACGGTTTCTGGCCTCGTATGGGGCCGCGATGTATTTGTGGACATTTATGCACCACTGTTTTCCAATGAGAAGTCCACCGGTCAAAGCAGAATGAAGAACCAACAGAGGGAGAACTAGAAATCTCAAAGCCCTTCAAGACCAGATCAGCGGTTGGTCATTACGGTCATGGATGATTGACGTCATACCCTGTTTTGGTCAGTTGACGTCATTCACTTTGAACCACAACGATAAGGTCCAGAAAATGCCCGCTTGGTTCGATGGGGAGTTTCTTAAGACTTGATGTCATAATATGATGTTTATGGTGACTCTGGGTTTTCGGCTTGATTGAGGTGAGGTTTACCAAACTTGCTGTATCCTTTTCCGTTGGCATTAGATTTAAGCAGCACGAAATCCGGCTCGACATCGATCAATTCCTCCAAACGTGGCTGAATGGTTGGTGGCAATCGGCCTTTTCCACACATCGAAGAGCCAATTAGCGCAGCATAAGGCGTTTTCCACTTTTTGGCAAACTCTTCAAGGGTTTCGAGAGATAGGTCAATGATTATGTCGCGCCTCAACTTCAAGAAAGGCAAGTCGAAACCTCTAATAAGGATATTACTACTAGGAGACTCTCGTGTTGAGGAAGCATGTGGCGGACCGGCTTTCAGAATTGTGCAGGCTTCTTGGTCCGCAGGGCTCAACGGATCGTCTTATAATCGATGTTGAGTGCATCATGGATGTGCTCTCATCCCGTTTGCTCTTCCCAAGATTACCCGTCAGAGTAGAAAGCAACATTCAACAGGATCCTCAAGATGAGATTTGACCGGCTGGCTCCTCGCAAACACAACAGCTAAGCTGGCCTCAGAGATTGCCAACCCCTTTGAGGCACAACTCCAGATCTTCGACCACCCTATCTCTTGCTCCCCCTTCCTTGCCCGGTAGAAATCCTCAACCGCTTTTTCTACATACCGTGCTGGGCAAGCACTTTCTCCTTTTCCTTTCATTCTCTTTCCCCTCATTGTCTCTTCCTCTTGTTTCTTTCCTCTCGGACAAATCGTACTTACTGAAAGGTCCTCGACCGCCCTTCTTCTACCGTGCTCGCAATACATACGCCGGTTCTAGAAACTCTCCGAGACATAGGTTCATCCGACCGGCAGCAATGAAGAGTCCTACATATCGACTCTTACACTCTTGGCGTCAGAAGGATACCGATCGAAACGGCGAAACCCGCGTGCAGGGCGCTAGCTCTTCACGTTGGCTGTTGCTGTAAGATTCCACACTGAAGCCCCCATGGACGCCGGCTGACGCCGGTGCGGGTAAACTCGAGGCTGTTCCCGGTCGTACACATTCCATGGCGCTTGTAAGTTGTACTGCTGGGGCGCCTGGGCGGCGTTCGAACTCTGTTCGGTTAGTCCGCTGTGTTAACCACTGCTCTGATGTGCACACTGTCCCGACGGTCTTGCACATCTACATAAAAGGGAGACCGAGAAGAGGCAAACCGTCCGCCGTCAACTGCATCACTCGCTCACCAGACCAGCGAATTAAGATCGAAAAAAACTTGATCGCTCAAAACCATGCTTGCAATCAATATGAACGCGTTTTTCAGCTGCTTGATCTTTATCACTCTACTCAATCCGTCGTTATCCCTCAAATTCGATCCAACACTAACCGTCAAAAACCCAGACAGTTACAGTCGAGCCTACGTTACCGATACGTTTCGTGAGTTTATAGGCGCTATTTGCTCTATACCTCGCGACGCGCAATCGGGACTGACAAAAGTGCCACGATGATTTTCATAGGTGTTGATCTCCATAACAGGGCTTACCGTTGTGATAAGTGCGATTTATATGGTAAGCGCATCGTAGATTCTGCTCATCGCGCTTTCCTGCGTGGATATCGATTGGAGACTCACAAAAGATGTCATTCAATCGGCATGACTTGTAGTCGCCACGGGCTGCAACCAGGCAGCCGGGTCTGATCTCCCCGCTGATCACACCTGTGAACTGCAATATCTACCAAAACAGGGCTATATTGGTAAGTCAGACACCTTTTCAATCTTCCTACATCATCTTGTCGTGCTGTGTCTATAAGAGGTGACTATGTAGACCAGCCAACTGACTTGACGATTCCAAATTTTCCTGTCCAAACGAACGATACATAGCATGCGAGTCTCGTTGCAAGGGGACTGATATTGGTGTTACGTACAACTGTAAAGCGAAAAAGCAATCTGGGGGTAAGCCCGCTCCCCATGGTTTGGTATCTCCCGAATAGATACACTGACTAACTCAAATAAAAACTGCACTTTAGATAAAATTTGTACCGGTTGTATGGAATTGATTTGATGGCAGACAAGCTATTTCTTTCATGCCTCATATCTAAATATGTGTGCAGAAAATAATTGCAAAGCCGTTGTTCCGGAGCTTGTCAGAGATCTAAGGACACCGTATTGGAATGTAATGATGTCTTCTATGATCCATAGAAGTACAGTTATTTTATCCTCCTAGAAAGTGAAGGAATACATTTGAGAAATCCTGAGTCAAAGCTAAAGAAAGCTATTGGTGGTTCAAACCCATGCAGTTCTTTACGTGAGCACAGAGACACTGTGCTGGTCTGACTCAGGAAGATGTTGCAGAGTGTGGCTGGAGCCAGGACTCCAGGAGCCTCCAGGTCCCCGGTGGCCTCCCCGTGACTCTGTTGATGCAAGTTCGAGGCCTCGGTCGAGAACTTGATGTAGCCAAAAGAAAATGGCAGAGGGGGCGAAACCAAGCGAGAACCAAACTGCAAGAGGAACATGAACCACTCCATCCAATTCCCAACACTCTCAACATTCATCATCTGGTCCCACCCAACCCAACAAGACTCAAGCTCAGAAGACTCAGACTCAGTGCTCTACTCCACCCATCTCGGCCAAGCAGGACTTTCGCAAGAGAAGAAGGACAGACTGATCGGACTCATCAAGGGACTCGTCAACTTCACCGCAATACTCAGCCATGGACTCAACAAACAACAATCGATCAGGGTCGTCCACTCAAAGAACCACAAGATCCTATTCCTGCAACCTGAAGCAAACCTCTATCTCGCTGCGGTTAGTAATTGCAAAACAAACACAACAGACCACACACGAAGATTTCTTGGAAACTGAACCCCGTAAAATTTAAATAGAACAGGTCATCAACTTACCCGGGAAGCCATCTCCATCAAAAACTATGACTTCCAAACTCTCAGATACCTTCAACATCCTCTCCCAGCAACAAGGCCCGTCATCTAACTACGAACCATCGGAAAGCGTGCTCCTGAACTCACTCTCCTCAGCCGCTCAGGAGTACCATCTACTCCATGGATCCATGAGCTTACTCCTACCCAATAAGCTACACGCATTACGTGAGAGGCTCGAGAAATTTTGGTCGGTCTGGCTATGGAGATGGAACGTCGGTAAGACTGGGTGCGGCGCGGTCGATTTCAATGAACTCTTTGGTGGTTAGTCTTGTCTTCATTCACTTCTTGAAGTTGATTCTCAATTTGTGTTTGTGTCCTTTTTTTTTTTTTTAAAAAAAAAAACAAGGTTTACAGTCGCCTTTTTTAGAATCACCCAAGATGCCCCGCGCTCCAGTGGATCTATTCGCCCGTTTTGTAAACGATGTTTGTCCCGCTTTTTCGGTACTTCCGATCCTAATTCACGATCGAAAAGTGTTACACATACCTTGTCCGATTGGGATGATCAAGCAAGATGACATCCAAACCCTAGTCCGATATCTGTTGAGTCTATTGGAGGGAAGTGAGGCCAAGCGTGTACAAGTACGGCCAGTGGCGAAAGTGAAGGTGGTAGAACCGGAGCAGAATGTGATCATGAAACGACTATCGGGGTTTGACTTCGGCACGCTGGCGAGTCTGCAGCCGAAGCTGGCCTCGACAACCAACTTGGCCATTCAACCGGCGAGCGCCTGGGCCCACAAGGCCTTCAAATGGGCATCTACCTCACTCGTCCTACCCTCCAACCTCTTCGAGAACATCGAAAACGAGTCGGAATCTCTCGATCAGCTCCTCCGTGCCGACATTGGCTTGCCCCCAAGGACTTCCCCGCCCCAGCTCGTCCGCATCAAATCTTCTCTGTCGGACCCCAAGGTCGTGGCCCAGTCTGTCCCCAGCCCTACCCGTCTAGGCTCTCAAAGATCCCCATCCTCCACTGGTTTGTGGGATCGTCGTCATTTATACAATCACGGCTTGATCGACGTCTGCTGACTTACCTTGCCTCTCACCGTCCATTATAGTCTCCTCACGAACAAAGCTTGGCTATCCACATAACCTCCTTGCAATCTATCCGCAAGCCCACTCCTCCCACTCTCGCGGGATACACTATCCAGACAGCCTGCTGAATTTGTACGGAAGCATAGCAGTAAGTGACTCGCCCGAGGAGGAAACGGGGATCCACAGCCTGCCGACGGTACCCCAAGATCCAGCGAGAAGTTCCGAGCCACCAACCAAGGCCGATTCAACGGGAGAAAAGGTGACGCCATCATCACTTGGCCAATCCAAGCACAACCCCCGCTCGCCGAGCTTTAACGTCGAACATGCCCTGGCAGACGCAATGTCCGAGCGGAGCATCGGCAGCATCGCAGCTCTCGAGTTCGTCCGCTCTCAATCCTTCACCGAGTTCCCCCGCTCCGACTCCTCGGACCCCTCCAGACCTTCATCCGAACTTCCGCCCTCCGACACACTCATCCTCGAACCTGATCAGCCTAACTCAGTTTCTCCTGATACTGACACTCCTGTCAACGCCCCGGTCAATCGTGGCTCTGCAACAATTAGATCCCCTTCAACGTCTGATACGACGGCTCTTAAACAACTCCAAGTCTATGTCAACACTGGCAAGTCAACGAGCTCAGTCTCATGGCTTCAGGTGTGTGAATCATCTCGGATACAATCTGGGTCCCGGCCCTGTTTATCTGACATACGCTACCCCTCCTGATTATTCTGGTATCAGATCGATGGGTGGACGTTGGCTTGGCTGGCCCAGCCGTCTGATCCTCTGGATTCTTCCTCCCAGCTCGATGAAGGCTCTGACGTAGTTGAGAAAGAACCTCTTCTCAAACAGGCCAGATATGTGCTTGATTCGTTGATCCAGAGCAAATGGCCCGAGGAAAGTGAACCGTCAGTCCACAGATCCAACTGTCGAGAACATGCCTTTTTTTCTTCAAGAGAGAATTGATAAGATTCAAGCCACCATTATTTTATGTTTGTTTGTTTGGGTGTATGTAGAGAGAGGCCGGAGCAGCAAAGGACGGCCGAGCGAGTGACCAGAGGGACACAGATGACGTCAGGCAAAGTGTCGAGACAACGGTTTATGATCAAGGATGGCCACAGCTCGACGGGTCTCTTTATCCAACAAGCCGGGCCCCAGTCTGGCTGGCTGTCCAAGAATGAGATCTGGCCCGGGAAGACTATCCCCCCCTCGGAGGTCGAGGTTCACTTGGGCTTGCTTCGACTCTTGGATGATAGTTTGTTTGGACGGGTCGGTGGATCGTCTGAACTAGTCTCGTCTGTTCTTTCTTCTTTTATGCAGAAAAAGAAACCGTCTTACAGGTGGTTAATCTCTTCACTTCTTTTTTTTTTTTTTTTTTTTTTTTCTTCCCCTTCTTGGCTTCATCTCTCCCGCCCTTGTAATATGTTTTCAGTCATTCTGGAATAAGCTTATTTGAGGAAGGCTTTTTGAGGACTAAATCTGGCCAATGGATCATCTCCAAAAGAATCCCTCATCATCACCATCACCACCTTCAGAGAAGACAGAAACAGAAGACCGAGGGTGCAGAAGATGCTCAAGAACAGCCACATTCGATACCGACTTCCCAGGTGAAGACCGATACGTTTGACAGGTTCATCGAGGCCTTCTTGGTCTTACCCGCCGGATTTGGATCGTTGATCGAGGCTGATAGTTACGTCCCCCCTTTTTTTTCTCTCTTTCTTTTAACTCCTCATCCAACCCACCTCATTTCTCTCTCTTTCTTATAACTCCTCATCCCACCCACCTCACTGATATTACGTATATACTAATCTATTTGTATCTCTGACAGACGAAATGCGGATCTTGGAGCGGCAATCTGAGATGCTCAACATGACTATCTTTGACTAGAGTTTCTTTTTTCTTCTTCTTTTCTTCTTCATTTCTCTCTGCTTCATCCCTACTTGAGCTTATGGGGTTTTTGTCTCCTGTTCGAACATATGTCATTGTGTCTCCCTCCCAAGTAAGGAGGTTTTTGAGTTGCTTGCCTTTTTGAACATCACATGTGTCTGTTTGATTGGTTTGAATCTTGGTAGATGAATTGTATTGTTTGAATTGTCCAATCATCTTATAATCAACCTCATTGTTGCTACCAAGTTTCAAACTCCCCAAAAGCCAAAAGAGAACATCCCTTGGAGGAAAGAGCCATGGGGCTGTAGAGCCAATACCCAGAACTCGCTTAGGACGTCATGGCGACATGGCCGAGTGGTCTAAGGCGCCGTCTTAAGGAGGTACCAGGGACGTCCTGACGGTAATCCGGCGGTCTTCGGGCGTGGGTTCGAATCCCACTGTCGTCAAATGCTTTTTGTTGGGCTTCTCCAGCCTCACTTTCTTTTTGTTTTTTTATTTACTTTTTCTTCGGGGACCACAGATTGAAGACAACACGAAAAGGATCTCTTAAAACTCGAACGAAACGATAACAGTTCACCGGGGCTGAGTTGATTTCTTCGATCGGTGGACGCTGGGAATGGTTCGAAGAGAGGAACAGTCGGATTGTTATTTGAAAGACTCATCATGCGAAACGCGTCCTAGTCCCAGCCGAGTCTTCCTCGCCTGAGCTGGTAATACATACTCACCAAGTTCGAGATACCCACGCTTTCTTTCCGTCACTCCCTCACACTCTCTCTTACGATCTCTGTTTTCTCGTCGAAGTTGACTCGGTAGACCAAGAGGTGCCTGCGCAAATCTCACGACGAACAAGAAAAACGGCACATAAATATTTACAGCAACAAAAGAAGAAGAGAAAAGAATGGCCCAACATCGAACAGCTTCCCTAGTCGACGGCCGTACCCGAGATGGTGGAGCGGGGACTCATTTTCTGCTTGGAACAATCACCAAGATCGTGTGCAATGAGCCCAGGTCACGGATCGACATCAACCTGGATGAACGGCTGGTCAAGGAGGAGGAGGAGCAGGAGGAAGATGGAGGATGTGGACAATCGACCTCAAACGGCAGGACGAGTCGCCGGAGCAGTCAGATTCGACAGCCCGTCCATCGTATCAGATTCCTTGGAGCCTGGTGTCGGACGTTCCTCCATGACCTCAAGACCGCCTCAAAACTGAAGCTCGACATGGACGCGTATGAGCCCGAATTCGATCAGGCAGGAAACCGTTGGGTCTTCAGGAACGGCGTGCGCGTCGAATTACTCATCGATAACCCTTTTCCCACACAACTCCCTTTCTTCCTCAAGACCGTCGATTTAGGTCAGTAGAGACCGTTCATTTTCTTGGGAAGGGATGAAACCAAAAAAAAAAAAAAAACATTGAACTGATCTGAAAAATTGTTACCCTCTTCTCTTTTTAACAGTTCCACGTCTTTCAAGCGATCTGCTTGAGCCACCACCCAACCCCAAAACTCGTCAATCTGATCTTCAAGTATCACCACACATCCCATCCACAACTCATTCTCAACAGAACCTACACGCCAGCCAAAGAACCTCAAGAGTGAACGACGAATCGGCCAGCAGACCAACGGCAAAACGAACCCGAGTGGCGGAATGCGATCCGCAAGGAAGTCAAATTCCCAATCGTCACGATCGGACTACAACTCCTGTGGCAAGCCAACAAGGCTCCTCATCAACCAACTCAAACTCCCATCAACGCGCACACATTCACTCAAATCAATTGCACTACACTCCCGGCCATCCAGATCCACATCAATCCTCAACCCTTACGACTCCCACTACCCCTCATACTTCGACACGTGTTAACCCCACCAATCCTCTCAATCCATTCGCTCCAGCTGTCTCGCAAACCCTAACAAATCTCACACCAGCTTCTCACACACAGGTAAGTGCATAGATTTCATGGTTGATGATCTGAGCCACCATATGGGGTCTGATGATAGGACCTCCCATTACAGGCTCTCCCTTTGAAGACATTAGACGAGATTGATCAGATGGAAGGAGGGACAAAAAACTCGTTCAATTTGATCGCGTTCATCGAGGAGAAGAAGACAGAAGAATGTGAGCGATCGACCCGGGGGATGACGGACTACAAGATGACGCTCTATCTGCGCGACTCGTCGCGCCCGATGAGCACGCGAAATGTGACCTGCAACCTTTTCTGGAAGACCTTAGAAGACTGTCCGCCGTGGGGGAAGGCGATGTGGAAGGTGATCTTCCTCTTCAACGTCTTCAAACGGGCCTCGACGATCTACGACACCCAGATCGTTGGGCCTTCCAACGGCTTCCAATGGGCCCTCTGGTCCCCCGGATACACCGGCTCCGCCGAACAGTTCTTCTCCAATAACAAAAGTATCAATCAGTTTTGCTCCCTCTTTGGCTCAACTCCGGAGGATCTTAAGGCGAAGGCTCTCGCGCTCTTCGATCATCAGAACCAATCTTCCTTGTCCAATCCATATACTCAACCCGCTACTCCCATCGTCAATTCAATCCCCAAAACTATCTCTGAACTGACAAACAACTGCCGTCAGAAATTTGATTTATGTGTCCAGGTAGGCCTTTCAAGATAGATTTTTTTTTGTTTTCATGTTGTAAATGAGCAAGTAGAAGAACATCGAATAAGGATTAGAAATGGGCATTCAAAGAAAGGATGGAATCTAACTAATTTTTTTTTCTTCTTGATGATCTTTGATAGGTCGTAGATCTTTGGGTGGATGGAGTAGGAAGTGACCGAATGACGGTGACGGATTACACGCGGAACTCGATTCTACGGTCACCGAAGCCGATCTCCATGACAGATGGGTCGTCGCGGATAGTCGAGATGCATGTAAACCATGGGGGGGATGAGACGAACTGGGGTGTGACTGAGAGTCGAGTGATGACGGTCTATATTGAGCAGCCGATCCTGCAGACATGTTATGAGCAGTTTGTCGATCACTCCGATAGTCTCGCATCCCGGACGCCCAACGCCTACGACTACCGGACCACACTCATCAACAAAGTCGTCAGGCTCTCCCAACTCGACCTCCGCCTCCGCGCCGGCAGCAACCAGTCCGGCGTCATCTACGCTCTCATCGCTAACCCCCGCAAATCTCGCCTCGCTGGACCCGACGATAGCTTCGATATCGACCCCGATACTCGCACCCTTCTGGCTGATAGAATCGTCCCCCTCGCGCCTTCCGAACCTGCATATCGAAAACTGTTGCAGGATAAAGAAATCTATACTCGTGAATTGGAAAAGGCTGTCTGATTACCTCCTCCTCTTCATCTATGTATATACATATATATATATATATGCACACTTCGTTCAACACCCTGGTGTTTATACATTTATTCAAGCTCCTTTTGGTCTTCAACTCATCCATCATTTAGTTTATTTTTTAAACTCATCTTCTCCCAACAGGGCTTGTGTAAACAAAAGCTTCCCAAAACCAAAAATAAAAAGAAGAAGAAAAGTAGGATTGAATTGCCACCATACTATTTATTCCTTGTATTCTTCTCAAACGACCATCACGATGATTACCTTCGTAGTATTCTTCATCCTTTTCTTTTCTAGTTCATAATACTCGTTGATCGTTCTTGCTTTGAATTCCATTTCACACTTTTTTTCTCTCTCTTTCTTTTGGACCTACTTGCTCCACTATAACATTTCAAAAAGAGGAGGTTCATCATATATGTAATAAAAACCAAGAATGATGATGATGATGGTTTATTAATATGATATGAATGATAATAGAGTACGCTCCTTCCTCACTCTTGTTAAAATTCTCACACATAAAATAGGCTGACTGGAAGAGAACAAAGTTGAATCACTTCAGATTGCGTATAAACTAAGGACGGTCAACACAGACTCAGGGAATCAGATCAAAAGACTTGATCAAACCCAGCAGCTTATAACGACCAATATCTGAAATTTAGTGGGTGTATCATAACCGTCTGGATAATCGACGCTCATTGCGCTTGGCCAGTTAGCTAAGTCGGAGATTACTGACCTTGGCATATTATACCTGCACATGAACCCATCGGCAGGGGAAGCTGACGCTGGTCATTGGAAAATGCAACTCAAATGCAATCACCTCGAAAGTGCAATAGTCGATCGAGTGCCTGATATTGTTTGTCCGACCTTATTCACACCTTGCTCCTCGTGACGAACGCGTCCGTCCAGAGGTTCGAACTATATATAGCCTGGTTGTGTGGGTGGGCTTGCTAATAAGATACATAGCCATTTCTTGGCCAATGGCTTTGGTGTGAAATGAGGCCGCCTGAGGTTGAGCTGGCTTGACTGACGAGCTTAACATAAGCCTCTCAATCGGGTCCCGAAGGGACCCCGCATCCCGAAGGGATGCTCTCCGCTACGCGACCTCCTCGGAGGGACCTTGTGTTAAGTTCGCTTGACTGACTGGTTCATGAAAGTGTCGGACGCTGGGATGACGTCATAATCAACCACACATATATCAACCACAACATTTTTTTTTTTTTTTTTTTTTCGTGCAGATTTGATTTAACATTGCGCACTATTGTATATATCCTCTGCTAAGTACAAAAAAAAGGCATATTGTCTTTTCCAAGAAGCTTGGAACCATTTAAAAAGAAATTTTTTTGGAAGATCCAGGCAGATCCCATGCTTTTGATATACAACTTTGGTTTAGGTTTGGACAGGTATGTGATCCGACCCAAGACCTGAAACTGCAATCTTGCCTTGGTTTCTTTCTAAGAAGAGCTCTGGCAAAACGAAGCTCATATTTGGAATCAGGGTGCAAAGTTCACCCAGATCCCACCACCTGCCCGGCCATCCCTTGCTACACCGGACCAGGCTGGGAGGGGAGTTCATGGCCAGGCATCCGGTTGCTGGATGGGGAGCGGGGAGGGAGAAGCGAAAGGTGGGATACCTTATGACGGAATCCTTTGAATAAACAAAATAAAACAAGCTTTTTAATGCATAACAAGACAAAAAAATTCGGAGAGGTTCCAACATTCTTGGAAAAGACAATAGTTATGATGAAAATCGCCTATAAAAACTAACCAGTGAATTTAGAAATGCCAGCAACGTTGGGATGATAGCTCAAGCACACAGAAAAAGGAGAAAGATAAGAGAGAAGGACAATGAACTAGTTTAAGCATTCCATCGGCGTCGATTGCGACTTAGGGTGGCTTGTTTCATCTGTGGGCATGTTTCTGACCATGGAACCACAACATGACTGACTGGCTAGCTGGCTGCTTATAATGATTATGGACTATATTTCCGTTGTTAGATCAACGGTTGCTATGGTTAACTATTAGTAAGGTAAATATGTATTAGGTAGGTATCTTTTCTTACTTTCAGAAGTCCTATTTATTACTGATGACAACGATCTTTAGGCAAAATAATGCGGTCAATCAAATCTGTTTCATTTGATTGATCTGACTATTATGGGTTGGCTTACCTTTTACATTTCTTTAGAATTACGAGTGATGATCGTACATGAGCAATCACCGCTTGATCATTATTGTAAGTGTGGTAGCTCGACTACGTAATCTTGAGTAATGATTACATCTCACTACAGTCTATGTCATAAATGACATAGACGATGATCTCGACAAGAGACGTCCGACTATCTCATGAATCCCTTTTCTCACGTTTCTTCTTTTTCTTCCCTTTTCTCTTACATAATGTGGACTATAAATAACCATGTATTTCTCTCCACATTATGCCTTTTCTCTCTATGCAATTTAGCCATCACTTTCCTTTTCCTCCTACTTACGTACTTGTGCCTCAATAGTCAGCACGTATTAGGCTGTTATTTTATTTCTCATTACTAAGCATTTATTATTAGTAGCCTTAGCATGTTTTAATTATGACGTTTGTGATGACGATGAGCGATGAAGAAATTTGTATTTGTGAAAGATTGATTCTGCAATGTGTATGAATAGTTTCCTTTGCTTTGCCGGTTGTTTGTTTCTTCTTCTTCCTCATCCTGATATTCTTGTTCTTCGATCTTTCATTTGAATCAAAAGAAAAGAAATATACTATCATCCTTTAAAAACTTCTTTACCATTATTAGCAAGGCTCTAAGTTACAAGGGTTCTACTCTGGTAAGCTTTTCCTCTCGGAGAAGCTTCATTTTGTTTAGAATACCTGAACCCTAGTACCTAGGACTTCACATTGCTGACTCCCGACTTACTACCACTTGGGTCCAATTCAAGTACTTTGACCCTCAATCCTTATACATAAAAAAGATATTTGTCTCCAGCACCGTCCTCATTTCCAAATTCCAGTGGGGTTTCATACTCAGTTGAACGGTTGGATGGGAAGGAATCTGGTCTACATAGATTATTGGTAGGCTCACCTTTTCTTGAGCCCTTCACCCTTGACTAGAGCAGATTGGTCGTCTTTTTGTTTTCCCTCCGGATCAGACTGCACAAGATCGCGGTGATTCTTTGTTTTTGCCTCTTTCTCCTCTCAACTACATCTTCACATAGAGGGGGGGGGGCACTATTGACCACCACTCTGGTCCCGCTTCCAATAGACTGTAAATTTGTTGTTGAGATCGAACGGCACATGAGAACAGGTCCGCTTTTTCTATCTGTTCCACCTCTATATCCATTCTTGAAGGATTCATCTGATCCTGATGAACTGTTTGATCTGGTTGGTTTGACAGGTCTATTTTTGATGGGACCACCGATACATTCAGAACAAACAAAAGTACACTCTTATTAAATCTGTCCCCTCTCCCTCATCTGGTAAGACATTCATTTCAAAATAAGCAATTGGTGGGAATTTCATGGATATAAGCAGGGTAGTGGGGAGTGAACTAACAAAATGGTAGCTGGACCATTGCCTTGTTCTTGTCTTCACTTGTGCTGGACATAGGTGGTTGGTACGGATGGACAGTAAGTTTACCAGTTTCCCAGTCCAGGTCCATGTCAGGTGGCATTGTATTCAACTCTTGGAAATCCCAATCAGGGCAGCACTTGGCCATAGTTTTATGGAATTGGTCATGTGCACGATTCATGTTCTATACAAATTGGAAGGTACGTATAGAACATGAATTCTGCATAATTCCGTAAAACTGTTGCCAAGTACTGCCCGGATTTGGATTTCAAAGAGTTGAATACAATGCCACCTGACATGGACCTGGACTGGGAAACTGGTAAACTCACTGTCCATTTGTACCAACTACCTATGTCCAGCACAAGTGAAGACAAGAACAAGGCATTGGCCCAGCTACCATTTTGTTAGTTCAATCCCCACTACCCTGCTTATAGTAGAGATGGTTGTGGTGCATCCGGATATCCACCTGGATGTGGATATCCCCTTGCTTTTCTAGCGGAATTGGGCATCCGCATCCGCTGGCAGGTATCCGGCAGCCACAGCGGGTATCCAATTGGGTATCCACCAATACCCGCCCTTCAAATGAAGGTTCTCGCCATTGGATGTGCTCTCATAGTTTTTATACCTGCTTTCACAGCTTTTGTGTCCACACTTGTTGCAGAACCCATTTCACCCCGCATTCTGTTTGTTTTGCTCCATAGTTTCTTCATCCTTGCAGTCACTTGTTCTGCTTCACGTAGACTACCTCCACTCTTCAAAAGCCTGAATGTGCTAAGGAGTCCGTCGAAACCAAGATAGCCGTTGACATTGGTCAGGAAAACACAATTCAATAGCAGCAGATTCATCATAGTTTTTACCTTCATCTTCAAATAATTTTTTGTCTTTCTGAAGTTCTGGAAGAAATTGCTGGCTTGCTAATCCACTCGTATAAAATTGGACGGATTATTTTTCTTCAAAAAGAAATCAGCCCCTGGTTTGATAATTGTGATATAAGAAATCTCTTAAGGATTGTATAGGATTGATAAATAATTGGTAGATCTCAAAACAATGATTTTCTTGTGAGAGATTCTTTTAAATCAAGCAGTGGTCACCAAATTTAAGTAATGAGTTGATAGTCTTATCATGAGAGGATGAAGGAAAGAAAGCGCCGTAACAGTTGGGTATTTATGCAAAATTGAGACTATTCTCAAGCGGCCAATGTGGGTTGGCTCGGGCTGCATACATAGAAGTGAAACATAAGAAACTGGCTCTGACAGAGCCTTACCGAGCTCGAGGATTCAAGAGGCAATGCTGTAATTGCTGGTTCAAAGAGCAATTACGAGTATATGCTCAAGTTGCACTCAACTCCGTAACACAACATGTGGAAAGCAAAGCAACAACCCAATGGAACCTGAATTTCCGCCCCTTGTGGACTCCCTTGGCCAATGGTGGCTATACCA